CAGAAACCAATGGTTTTCTTATCAAGGAACAGAAAGAGTATTTCCCTCCCACCACTGGGTGAGCACTGGACTGGGAGCACCATGACTCCCAATTTCATCTCTGCCCCTCCCTGCTGGCCAGGGCTGCTCCATTTGGAGCCTTCGCATCTTCACCTGGGTGGAATTGCTCAAATGGGTTTGGGATTTGCCAACTCCAAATCCAAAGAGCAGCGGATTTGGGGTTCATCCACAGTCCTGAGTTTGAACCCTAGCTTCCGTGCTGTAGCCTTAGACATTAATCTCCCCGGACCTTTTCCTGTGTGTAAAATGAGGGTGAAACACTTGTCATGTTGCTATGCAGGGGCTGGGACAGCCTAGGTGCTCAAGGAGATACTTTCTGAGCCTCAGTTTTCCCACTTTTAAAATGGGGCTAGGAGTGCCTCTCTTTGGGCTATTGCGAGGATCAGAATTTATGAATGAGTGTTTAGATGCTGGGATGCAGGAACAGCTGCTGCCCAGCCACATTCCCAAAAATAGAGAAGTTGAACTCAGTGGTTTCCAAGATGGGTTCCACAAGGCACCCCAGGGGCCACCAAAGGTTTGCAAGACAAGCTGGGTCCCAAGCCAGCTCTGCCCCAGACAACACTGCTTGTACCTGTTTTACACATGGGGTTCTTCATGTAATTTTGTTTCAAGAGTTCTATTTTTTTAACGTTTCATTTGAAAATAATTTCAAACTTCAAAAACTCTAAGAATAAAATAGTACATAGAAACAGGAACACCTACAGACTCTGCAAATTGTTGACATCCTACCTCCTCCACTTCATCATTTTCTTTCTCTCTCTACATACATAAATTTTTTTCTGAATTGCATAAGGGTAAGTTCCACACATCTGGGTCCTTTACCCCTAAACACTGTCCTAGGTATTTTGTGGCATGTATGTATGTAAGATTACATAACTCTTACATAACCACAGTAGAGTTGTCCATTGCAGAAATTTACATTAATACAATGTTTTTTATCTAAGCTGCCAGGTTGTCACGTGATTTAATAAGGTCCTCTTTAGAATTTCCCCCTCAGGCTCAGGATCTAGGGAAGGGCTAGATGTTGCATGTGCTTGTCATGTGTCTTTAACCTCCTTTAATTTGGAATATCTCAGATCTGTTGGGGAATGATGGAAATACAGTCTGAGGAATGTGTCATTTGGCAGTTTGAATGTTGAGCAAACATCTTAGAGCTACTCACTCAAACCTGGATGCCACAGCCTACTACCCCCTGGGCTATATGGTCTCACCCATTGGCCCCAGGCTACCACCCTGTACAGCATGTGACTATACTGAAAACTGCAGGCAAGTGTAGCTCAGTGGTCAGCATTTGTGTATCTGAACATATCTAAATGTAGAAAATGTACAGGAAAAATCCTCATTCTGATCTTATGGAACTGCCGTCATATATGTGGTCCATCGTTGACCAAAACTTCGTTATGCATCACGTGCCTCACTGTATTTCCACAGCCTTTGTCTTTAACGATGATTGATGTTTTTTTAACGATAATTGAGGGATACTGGTTTTTTTCTCCGCCCCCACCTTTTCTTAATGAAAGTTCCTCATTTGGTGTTTGTCAGATGTTTCCTGATGATTAGATTGAGGTGAGACATTCTCAGCCAGATCCCAACTGACTTCAGTTCTGACTTTGACATTCAGCAGTTTTAGAACGAGGTCCCAGGCATTCAACTCAGGCCTCCCCACTGGCAGTTGATCAGGCAGCTGTGTGGTCTATGGCCTTGTTACCCGAGGTGTGGTCTGCAGCCCAGCAGCCCCTTCGTTGAGCCCTGGGAGCTATGAGTGACCCCACAGAGAGGCCGACGCCAGCCCAAGTCCTGCCTACCTCCACCTCTGACCTACTTCCTCCACCACTGACTGCTTTAAGCAGAAAACAGCCCTCCCTGGCCACCACTCCTGACTTCCGCCCTGCCCTAGACCTGCCTCTAGTCTTCCCAACCCCCTCACCTCCAGGGAAGATGCCTCACCCACCTGCCTCATTGCAACGATGCAGGCAACGGTAGCTTGATGTGGTACCTGCATGGACCACCTGAAACGGGAATAAAATAGGGTGGGCCACTGGCAAGACCTGTTTGAACAGTGAGGAAAGGGGTAAACATGGAGACACAAGACCTGAGTTAACTGGCCATGCTGCCTTCTCCAGAAAGATAAGGCCAGGATTAAACCTAGAATTCCCTCACTCTAAAGCCTGTGCTTCCATCACCATGCCAGTGGCCGGCCTGGGAATAGACCCCAAGTTTCAGAATCCTGGTCAAGTGTGTCTTCTCCTATCACAACTTCAGGGTCCTGGGTTAGGCAAATTGGGGAGTTCACAGAAGCAAATGGCTTTGGATAAAGTGGCCCTCCCTTCTGGAGTCAGGAACAGACTGGATTCTTCACGGACTTCGTGAGGCTTGGTGAGAGCAGCTAGAACTTCTAGCTGCTAGATTCATCCCTTCTATTACTTTGACAAAGAAGTCATTCCCACCTCTTTGATGTCTGAGACCAGTCATTCAGAGCTGGTCCTGCTGCTGGGGAGAAATAGATTCAAGCCCAGAGAACCTTCCTTAAGATGAGAGGGCGAAAAAGAGGATAGAGGTCAGACGCAGTGGCTCAAGCCTGTAATCCCAGCACTTTGGGAGGCTGAGGCGGGTGGATCACAATGTCAAGAGATCGAGACCATCCTGGTCAACATGGTGAAACCCCATCTCTACTAAAAATACAAAAAATTAGCTGGGCATGGTGGCACGTGCCTGTAGTCCCAGCTACTCAGGAGGCTGAGGCAGGAGAATTGCTTGAACCCAGGAGGCGGAGGTTGCGGTGAGCCGAGATCGTGCCATTGCACTCCAGCCTGGGTTACAGGAGCGAAACTCCATCTCAAAAAAAAACAAAGAGGGTAGGGTTGCAATTCGGGAACCTTCTAATGTGAATCCCAAGCAGGAGGCATCCCAGAGGGTACTGATAGCCAGAGGCTGCCTTTTCAGCTGCTTGAGTAGTCTGTGTAGACACCCTGATACCACCCACATGAGCTTCTGGAAATAGGGCCTGGCTCTGGGGATAGAATACACTAATGACCAGGTGGTGGGATGTGGGGGCCAACTGGGTGATGCTAGAGTCCAGGTCCTTTGCCATCCACTTCCCTGGCAGGGACCATAAAGTCAAGAGTCCACAGCTGGTTCAGGCAGGGGCAGCGTCAGAGGATTGGATAGGAGGAAGGCTTTCGATGGGGACCCCAGGGGCATGGAATAATGGGCCTTGTGACATTGACTGGGGGTAGAGAGGACAGGAAGGTAGGTCAAGCTGTTTGGTTTTTTAAATCTGTATTTAAAAAAATTAAACTGGGCTGGGCACAAAGGCTCACACCTGTAATCCCAGCACTTTGGGAGCCTGAGGCAGGTGGATCACAAGGTCAGGAGATCAAGACCATCCTGGCTAACACGGTGAAACACTGTCTGTACTAAAAATACAAAAATTAGCTGGGCCTGGTGGTGTGCGCCTATAGTCCCAGCTACTCGGGAGGCTGAGGCAGGAGAATCACTTGAACCAGGAGGTGGGGGTTGCAGTGAGCCAAGATTGCACTGCTGCACTCTAGCCTGCGCAACAGAGCGAGAGTTGTCTCAAAAAAAAAAAAAACAAAAAACTAAATGATTTTTGATGATCAAAGTCATTCATGTTTATTGTTGCAAATTGATCAATAGTATGTTGGTGAATTTCTTTGTAGTCCTTTGTGATAACTACAGATAGATAGGTAGCTAGATAATTGGTTAAGGAAACATTTGCTGCTATAACAGATAAACCCTCCTATTTCTAACTCAACAGAAGTGTATTTCTCACTCATATAAGTCTAATTGCATGGAGGAGGGTTGGATGGTGGAGGGTCATGCTCCATGTGGTCATTCAGGGATCCATGCATAGGAAGGCTTCCTAGGTCTCCCTAAGGATTGACATCCAGTTACAGGAAGGCGGGTCGTGGACATCTGAAAGAGAGCTTTTTCACCCCATAACACAAATGGAGTGCAGGCCCCCTAAGATGTCATGTTCTAAGGCTTATAGGACACATTCCCCTCCTGTCTTCCATAATAATTGTGTCTAGCATTTACTACTCTATGCTAATCACCTTCCATCTGTCTTGTCATCCTCACAGACACTCCAGGGAATGTGGATACTGTGATTATCCCCATTTTACAGCTGAGAAAACTAAGGCCCAATGAGGTTAAGTAGCATGCTTAGGGTCATACCTGAGTAGGTGAGTGGTTGACTTGAGACTTGAACCCGGTTCCTTTGCTGAAACCCAGGACCCCCCCAGCTTCTCCGGCCTGCCTCCCCAGGGCATCCTGAGGTCAGAGATGACCTCAGAACAGACAGACACAAGTCATGGCTGCATTTTGCAGTGCCTGCAATCTCATCCCTTCTCAAGCCAGAGTGGGACTTTGTGGCTTCAGGCCTCAGAGCCCACAGCCTGCGTAGCTGACTGGCTTGTGGGGTGAACTCTCTGAAGAGGAACCCAGGGAACTGGAGTGATTTCCTCAGGGATACACTGTTGCTCAGAGCAGAACTGAGACTTAACCAATCTCTGTGCAAAGTGCAAGAAACCAAACAGGGTGACTTCAAGGAGCTCAGTGGGAGAGAGGAGGCTGGCTTCTAATCTCATGACAGCCACAGACTTCACAAGTGACCTCCAACCAACCATTTCTCTGCCCAGGCTTCAGTTCTGTCATCTGTGCAGCTGAGAGTTCTGACGAGATCAGTGTAGTTCCTATTTCCAGGAAGCTCTCTAGCGTCCACAGACATAGCTGGGGGCCACCTTCGGGACAGTAGAGGGTCATGGCTGAAAGGACATGAGCAGGCCAACCCTGTTGCTCCACCTGAGTCAACCAGAGAAGCTCAACTCTGTATGAGTTTCCCATTACCAAAGGCTTCCTCTGCAAACAGGTTTGAAGTCCGCTGTTCTAAATGATCTCTAATTCTTGATACCGTATGTTTTTATCAAGGAAATTCATTCATTCAGTGGCTCAGCAAACTTTGACAATGAGCAAAACCTAGGAAGACCCAGTCCATGTTTTTAGGATGTTCACAATTCAAGCGAAAAACCAGCATTAAACAAGCAAGCATCTTGCAGTGTGATGATATTCATTCATGCATTTAGCAAATATGTTCATTGAACACCTACTATAGGCCAGGCACCACTGAGGTGTCAGATATGAAGACTGAGCAAGATAAGGTCCCTGCCCGAGTAAAACTTATATTTGAGTGGGGGAGATAAACAATAACAAGTAAACAGAAATGCAATATATATCTCCCAAGGTGAAACGTGCAACTGGGGTGGATAAAGCAGGGTCGGGGGGTCTGGGGAGTGTTGGAAGAATTTGCTGTCCTGGGGCTGGGTGGTCAGGGAAGGCCTCTCTGAGTTAACGTATGATATTGATTTTCCCATTCTGCAATGCCAGAACTGGGGAGAACCATTACAAAGACACTGGGCCTAGTCGAGGAAGAAAGTGACTTTAAGTGGGAATTGTGATGGAGAGTGAGGGCCAGGGCAGGGCAGTGTCATGAGCCTTGTGCTGTCCCAGGGTTGCAGGACCAGCCACTGGCTTTCAATAAGAGCCCAGTCAACAAATGGGGGCCCGGGTGGGGCAGGGGGAGTAGTTTTGATAAGATGCTCAATCCTTTCCTCTCCATCAGGGTCTGCAAACTGTGGCCCTCCCAGCCATCTCTGGCGCACCACCTGATTTTGCAAGACAAGTTTTATTGGAACACAACCCATACCTACACTCAGCATCTAAGGCTGTTATGTTCTAAGGACTGAGTTGAATATTTGGGACAGAGACCGTGTGGCCCATGAAACTGAACATATTTACTTTCTGGCCTTTTACAGAAGAAAATTTGCTAGCCCCTCTTTTAGACAACGCTGCTTCACTCTGTCACTCAAACAGTCCTCCTACCTCAGCCTCCAGAGTAGCAGGGACTATGGGTGCATTCCACCACACCCAGCTGATTTTTTTTTTTTTTTTCCAGAGAGAAAGTCTCACTATGTTGCCCAGGCTAGAGTTAGGGCCTTTCTAATCCTCACTGTCTGTGTGACCCAGCTGAGCACCCTTCAGCTCATTTTGATCCTAAAGAGAGCTTTCCTTCTCCAAAATCTCCCAGCCAAAGAAACACGCATGACGCCTCACCCAGGGTTTTGAATTGTGATCGGCTACCCCCGTAACTACAGATGGCAACCAGATGTGACTTGGCAAAAAAGAAAGCAGAAATCACTAGGAAGCGGAGGCTGCAGCCAGAAGAGCTTTTGGATGCACAGCCAAGTGGACGTGATCTCTGGTCCACCCAAGACAGATGTTCAGCTCACAGGAGAAATATTTTGCAGCTAGCATCCCAGTGCTGCTTCCTGAGGCCCTGATGTGGTCAGAGCTGAGCCCTGAGCCTGGGGTTCCAGGCTTCTCAGGAAGGAGAGTGCAGTCCTAACTGCCAAAATGATGGGCTGGGGCCCTGTGTGTTTAAACAATGCTTGAAGCTTGTGTTGGTCCATGAGGAGCTATCATGCCTGTATGGATATTTTCTCACGAATGTCAACAGCCAGAGACCCAGATTCTAGTCCCAGCTCCGCTGCTGATCAGCTGTAGGGCCCTGAGCCTCAGTGTCCTCACAGTGTGGTTGGACGTGATGAACTAAGGCCGATGGTGTGCTCGAGTCGGCTCGCAGCAGCTCCTGGGAGCTCATTGTGTGCATCTCTGCCCAGCTGTGTTCATGTTGGCAGCTTGAAGTTGGAAGTTGTGGAAATATTTAGATCATGGAAATTGGCAGATGCTACAAATCAAGGTTGATTTTTTTCCCTGCAGAAAGCCAGTCGTTAAGCATTTCCCAGCATGCCACTGTCTAAGGCCCACAGCACATCCCGTGCCTATGACCATGACCTCCCCCTGGCAGGACAGAGTTGTACCCAGTAAGAACACATATGGGGTACAGTTCAGTCCACTGACAACGACCTACGTCCCAAGCCTATGCTGGGGGCTGGAAAGACAGTGATGCAAGAGAGGCTCAGAGAGGGTTAGTGACTCACCTTGGCTCACACAGCCTCCATCCCTGCCATCCCAGGCAGGGGGAAACTATGTGTGCAAAGTCCTGGAGAAGGGAGCATGCACTCGGAAGTCAGGGAATGGGCTGTGGTGCAGCCCAGTGAGATGTTATGTGGGAGGGTGATGGAGGCAGCATATCATCTCAAGTTGGAAGATGGAAAGTAGAGTAAGCACCAGGAACCCTGGGGCAGCCCAGGAGGGCTTCCTAGAGGAGGTAGATCTTGAAGAAAGACAGTCGAATTAATAGGAACATGGGATTGTCAGCCAAGATTCCTCAAGGAAAACATGGGGAGAAGAGCAGGCAAAGGACCTTCCATAGCCAGGGGGTACAAAGCCGCAGTCCTGGGCTCCCTCCCTTCCTGTCCCCCTCATACCCACATGACCCGCCCTGAAGTCCCCAGACCTAGGGCCCTAGTTGGGCCATCCTTTAGCTGAAAGTCATTATTCCCTCAAGCAGGGTTTCTCACCAGTGGCCCTGTGGACATCTGGGGTGTCCTCTGCATCACATGATGTCATCAGCGCCAGTGTTGCTGGCCCATTTTGCAGATGTAGAAACTGAGTGTGGCCAGAAAGGCAGGTCATTAGGCACAGCATTGTCTAAAATATTAAACAAGTACAGGCCATGAGCAAACCCACATTCACTGGACAACAATGACCAGAGGCCTCCAGAGTGCAAGTGATATACTGCAGGAGGCAGGACTAGAGACCAGGCCGCCCAGGCTGCAAGGGAAGATGGGAAATGGAGGCTTTATTGGCTAAAAGTCCTGTCCTGGCTAAAAGGAGTTTTAGAATAGAGTTTGAAAATAGAGACTTGGGATGGGTATACAGTGGCTCACACCTGTAATCCTAGCACTTTGGGAGGCTGAGGCGGATGGATCACTTGAGGTCGCGAGTTCAAGACCAGCCTAGTCAACATCACAAAAGCCGGAATCTACTAAAAAAAAGAAATACGAAAATTAGCTGGGTGTGGTGGCCAGCACCTGTAATCTCAGCTACTCAGCAGGCTGAGGCAGGAGAATCCCTCAAACCTGGGAGGCAAATGTTGCAGTGAGCCGAAATCGCAGCACTGCATTCCAGCCTGGGAGACAAAGTGAGACTCCATCTACAAAAAAAAAAGAAAATAGACACTGGACAATGCAGGAGGAAGGGTAGCAACTGCTAGTCACACCAAGCTAGAACAGACCGTGCAGGCAAGAAACACAAGGACCCCTGGGTCGGCTGAGACCCCGAAATCCCAACCCCTGGCAGGGTCGTGGACTTCAGCTTGGGAGGGTCCTGCAGATGGGAACCGCCTCTGACTCACGTCCTCTGTCTCCCTGTCTGCAGGCCCAGCCCTTTGCCCACTCATGCTGGTGATCCTTGACCAAGTGCTGGTTTTGCCAGCCTCGGCCCCAAGAACAAGGCCAGGGTTCGGGGGAGGTGAGGGAGACACTTATCTTAGGGGCAGAATGCAGGGGAATGCTCCAGAAACTCAACCACAAAGATAAATTATGCGTGTGTGCATATGTGTATGTATGTGTATACACACACACACACACACATAATTTTTAAAACAATTTAGTGGTTTTTGGTGTATTTGCAAGATTATGTGACTAAAACTACTCCAATTCCAAAACAGTTTTATCACCCCAAAAAGAAACTCTGTACCCATTAGCAATCACTCCCCATTCTCTTTTCTGCCCAGCTCCAGGCAACCACTCATGTGCTTTCAGTCTCTGTGGGTTTGCTTATTCTGGACATCGCATACAAATGGAATCACATCCTATGTACACTATGTTGTCTTCCGTGGCTGGCTTCTTTCACTTAGCTTAATATCTTCACAGTCTATCAGTATCAGCGGCCAGGCACGGTGGCTCACACCTGTCATCCAGCACTTTGGGAGGCTGAGGCGGGCAGATTATTGAGCCTAGGATTTTGAGAACAGCCTGGGCAACATGGCAAAACCCCGTCTCTACCAAAAAAAAAAAAAAAAAATAGCCAGTCTCCTAACCTGGTCTCAAAAAAATGGAAAAATATCAGTATCACAGGATGTATGAGTAGTTGTTCCTTTTCATTCCCAAAGGCTATTCCATGGTCTGCATGCAGCATATTTTGCCTGTGTATCCACAAGTAATGGACACATGGAGCTGTCTCCACTACTTGGCTATTGTGACCAATACTGCCGTGAACATTTGTGGGCAGGTCTTTGTGTGGAAATATCTTTTTGTTTCCCTCAGGTGTATATATAACTAAGAGTGGAATTTTGGGCTCATGTGACAAGATAGGTACTATTTTAATGCAGTATTTTTTGAAATAAAAATTAATGCAAAAGTTATGATGAATAAAATATTCACTTTTTTTTTTGAGATGGAGTCTCACTTTGTTGCCCAGGCTGAGTGCAGTGGCACAATCTCGGTTCACTGCAACCTCCACCTCCCAGGTTTGAGTGATTCTCGTGCCTCAACCTCCTGAGTAGCTGGAATTACAGGCACAAACCAATTTTTGTATTTTTAATAGAGACGGGGTTTCCCCACGTTGGCGAGGTTGGTCTTGAACTTCTGACCTTAGGTGATCTACCCGCCTCGGCCTCTCAGAGTGCTGGGATTACAGGCATGAGCCACCATGCCTGGCCTTCACATTTTTGGCTATTTTTTTGTTCGTTTTTTGAGGCGAAGTCTCACTCTGTCTCCCAGGCTGGAGTTCAATGGCACAATCTTGGCTCACTATATAACCTCTACCTCCTGGGTTCAAGCAACTCTCCTGCCTCAGCCTCCCGAGTAGCTGGGACTACAGGCATGCACTACCACTCTCGGCTAATTTTTGCATTTTTAGTAGAGACAGGGTTTCACCACGTTGACCAGGATGATCTCCATCTCTTGGCCTCATGATCCACCCGCCTCAGCCTCCCAGAGTTCTGGAATTACAGGTGTGAGCCACTGCACCCGGCCTTCAGATTTTCAATGAAGTCAGGCTGTCTGTTTTACGATCCTGTGCAACTGTGCCACAGGAGTGGTCTTTTCCAATCAGCCTGCAGTTCCCAGCCTACATTATGTTTGTGACAGCTGACAATAGATAGCAAACAGATTGGCAGCCAGATTTTAGCTATAGTCATTGTTTCTTGAGTGTAGCGCATTCATTAACTTTTTCCACCTGGTTCAAAATATGAGAGGCTGTTTTGATCAACACGTGTGGGGCACACAGTTTTCCTTTGGCCTCAGGCCTCGCTACGGCTTTGACCACCTGCCCCATTTCAGTTAATCCTCGAACATCCTCAGGCACCTCATTCTCCAACCTCCCTGCCGAGGAGAGAGGAAGGAAGCAGCTTGCTACAGTCCACAGCTGGTGAGTAGTGGAGCTGGGATTTGAACCCAGGTTTAGGATTGGAGACCCTGTCTTCACACTGTGCCTTTCAGCTGTGTAGCCTGTAGTTGCCCAGGAGGGTCAATTTAGGTCTCTGAAGTCTTCTCTTCAGGGAGTGGGCAGCCTCATTGTTACCAGGACAGATGTGAACATGCAGAATTCACTATGAAATTTGGCAACATGGCGAAACCCCATCTCTACAAAAAAATATATATACATACAAAAATTAGCCAAGCGTGGTGGTGTGTGCCTGTAGTCTCAGCTACTCAGGAGGCTCAGGTGGGAAGATTGCTTGAGCCCAGGAAGTGCAAGTTGCAGGTGAGCTAAGATCAAGCCACCGCACTCCAGCCTGGGTGACAGAGTTAAACCCTGTTTCAAAGGCAGGACACTGTGGCTCAGAGCTGTAATCCCAGCACTTTAGGAGGCTGAGGCGGGCCTGGCCAACATGGTGAAACCTCGTCTCTACTAAAAATACAAAAATTAGCCAGGAGTGGTGGCATATGCCTGTAGTCCCAGCTACTCGGCAGGCTGAGGCAGGAGAATCGCTTGAACCTTGGAGGCGGGAGTTGCGGTGAGCTGAGATCATGCCACTGCACTCCAGCCTGGGCAACAGAGCGTGACTCTGTCTCAAAAAAAATAAATAAATTAGCTTCCTCCCCTGGAAGTACTTGCCATGAGCTATGCTGAGGCAATGGGAGGACCGTCGCTGAGTGAAACACCCCCGTGTGCTGTAGGAACTTGCCACTCAGGCCTCTCCATGTCCCCAAATGAAGCCATCTGTGAAAAATTTACTTTAAAGCTAAGAGTTAGAAAAAGAATTTGGTTCCCCCAAGAAATAGGTATATTTTTTCTTCGTGGACAGCTTTCCTCTTTGCTTTGGCCAGCAGGAAATTCAAAGCCAAATTTGCTGCTGTGAAAGAGTAGTTGTGTAGATTCTTGCTATTTGTTGTTGTTTTCTGGTTTTTTTTTTTTTCTTTCTTTTTTGAGAAGGAGTCTCACTCTGTCACCCAAGCTAGAGTGCAGTAGAACGACCTCAGCTCACTGCAACCTCCACCTCCCGGGTTCAAGTGATTCTCCTGCCTCAGCCTTTTAAGTAGCTGGAACTACAGGCGCCTGCCACTATGCCCAGCTAATTTTTCTTTTGTATTTTTAATAGAGACAGAGTTTCACTATGTTGGCCAGGCTGGTCTCGAACTCCTGACCTTGTGATCTGCCTGCCTTGGCCTCCCAAAGTGCTGGGATTATAGGCGTGAGCCACTGCCCCCAGCTGACTGTTTATTTGTATTTTTATGTTTCCTATAGTATCATCCCTCTGGTAATTTATATTTGTCCTGATGGTTTTCAAATTTTTATTTAGATGTTACAGTTTTATTAGGTATATTTCCTGATGGTCCCTTAAATCTTTGCAAACATGTCAAGAAATACACTTTTTGCAGGAGCTATAAATTGCTTGGCCTGTGCTTGGATGGATGATTCATCTCACCCAAAACACAAAGGTAGCAGCACTAGCATGGGTTATTCTGGGGCCACATCCAGAACTGATAACCCCCAGCCGAGTCTGGAGACCTTTGCCTGAGCCTGGACTCCCTTTGCTTAGAGGAAGTGAGAAGTGGGCTCGGGGACCAGGCGCAGCCATTCCCACCATGCAGAACTGCTCGCCCCAGCTTCATTTCTCCAATGCACTTGCAGAGGCGCGCCAGAAGGCCAGCTAAGGGCCTGCAGCAAGATTCTATTCTGCTCAGAATTCTCCACCCACAGTTCTAGCCTTGGGCTTTGCATTGCCAAACGGGCTATCTTCAGAGCCAGCCGAGAGCACACTGGGAAGGCATCTTTCGCACCCAACTTCCACCCTCCTTTCTGCCATTGTTCCTTTATAGAGCGCCCTCCACCTGCCATGCCAGGCGTCTGTTGCTGTCTGGATGCTCTGAGCCCTGTGAACATCACCCTCAAAGGCAGTAGAAATGAGTTGATACTTGGGGGGGGTCTTTACATTTAAAAAAAAGGCCTTAGGATAGGGCACTGTTTAACCCAAAAATAGGACGAAGACTGAATGGTGACATTTCAGGTCTCAGAGTATCTGGGTGAGGGAAGACGTTTCTGTTTTGCAGGTGGGAGGGAGATGTATGCTTAATGGGGGACAGAGAACCTTCCCGGAACCCATGAATGCTTCTGGGTGGGTCCGCAAATAAGTGTGACGTGAATCTGACTGTCAAGCAAGCAGCAAGGGGCTGTCATGGGGAGGAAGGATTAGGAAAGGGGAAGGGGTCAGGGTCTTGCCCATCCCAGCCGAGGGCACTTTCTCAGTTCCTTCTTCGTAAACCTGGACTGTTTCTCAGTCCTTCCGAGGAGGCTGTTACTGGGTTTTCTCTGTCCTGAGAGTGAGTCATGAGAGAAGGAACATTCCTCTTCCAGGGATCGCCACCCACACTTAGCAAACCACTGTCCCCTACCCTGGGCAGAGAGCATCTCACAAGGAGAGCCTGGAACTCATCTCCCTCTGCCTCCTTCTTCTTCCCAGGGAAGCCCTATGGGGCGGATGACTTCCTGCCTGTGCTCATGTATGTGCTGGCCCGCAGCAACCTCACGGAGATGCTTCTCAATGTGGAGTACATGATGGAACTCATGGACCCCGCCCTGCAGCTGGGGGAGGGTGAGTCACCACCCCCCACCCATCAGGTGCATTGCACACCCCCAACTCAGCCACACCACAAGCACTCCGGGTGGCCCAGTAGCACCTCCAGGATGTCAGACTCACTGAGCTCTGGAGCTGTGAATGTGAATGTGAATCCTACACAGGTCCTATCTGGCAGGAGCTCACAAATTAGGAGGAGAGATGAGCCAGTCCAGAGACTGTGCCACCTCCATGTAACAACTGCTGGAATAGCTGGAAGCCTAGAAGGCATAGGAGCATGTTACCCAGACTGTGTGGTCAGGGAAGGCTTCTTGGAGGAGGTGACTTCTGAGCGGAGTAATGAAAGATAAATAGGAGCCAGCTGATAAAAAAGGGAAAAGGTTTTTATCGGGAACAGCAGGAGCTGGTAATGTAAAAGATGGGGTGAAGTGGCATGTAGTGCTCACAGTTAAGTCTGACAGAGTGATGATTAGTTCTTAGATGGGGGTGGTCCCAGGCCCCTTGCTCATAAGCCCTGGGTCAGGACCTCTCATCAGTGGGAGGTTAATGATATGGGTAAGAAGCCCTGCACTCTCCAATAGGATGAAGGCAGAGGCGTGGTTTGGTCCACCCCACGTTCAGTTTCCCTTCCCCTTTCCTCCTTCCCACCACATCCTCCCACCCACTTAGCCTCAGCAGCCTATCTACCAAGAATTTCCTGAGGGGAAGCCACCCAGATACCAGCTCTGAGGGAGCCCTGACTTCTCCTCTGAGACATCAGCCTCAAAGGATAGAACCATCCTCCCAGGCCCTGAGGGTCCCCCTTGGGCTTTGTGGTTCTTGAGATGAGCAGACTCTTTTTGCATCTGTTCGCAGTTTTTTTGCATGTTCCAGTCTCTGGGGTGATAGTTTGATAAGATAGTTCTGTGAGTTGTTGACAGCTCAGGGGAGCGTGTTAAAGCCATGACATTTGCTGTCATATATAACTTTGGCTTGTGTCACTGGGACCTCTGTATCTACCTTTTTTTGCTCTTTAGTTAAAAATGTCCTGTAATTGGAACAAGTAGTCTTCTAGGAGGTCCAGGTATTCAAGAGAAGCCAAGGTTTCTTCAGCAATGATTATCTTCTGCCCAGTGCAGCCATATACTCATCTATCTATTCATCTGTCTATCCATATAGCCATCTATCCACCCACCTGTTCACCTTCCCTTCCATCCATGCATCCACTCATCCATCCAACCACCCAGCCATCTACCCATCCCCCCACCCATCCATCCGTCCATTCATCCACCCACCCATCATCCATCCATCCAGCTATCCACTCATCCACCCACCTACCCACCCATCCACATGTTCACTCATCCATCTGCATATTCATCCACTCATCCACATGTCCATCTACCCATCCACCATTCATACATCCACCCACCCATCCATCATTTATTCATCTATTCACCTATCCATCCATCCATTCATCCATCCATCCATCCATCCATCCATTTATCCACCCACTCCTCTACCCATCCACCCACCCATCCACATACTCACCCAGCCAACCACATAACTATCTGCCTATCCACCCACCCACCCATCCATGCATCCACTCATCCACCTAACCACCTACCCATCCATCCATCCATCCATCCATCCATCCACCCACTCATCTACCCATCCACCCACCCACCCATCCACTCATCCACCCACCCACCCATCCATTTATCCATCCATCCACCCATCTACCCACTTATCCATCCATCCACCCACCCATCCACATATTTACCCAGCCATCCACATAACCTATCTACCTATCCACCCACCGATCCATCCATGCATCCACTCATCCAGCAACCACCTACCCATCCATCCATCCATCCACTCATCTATCCACCCATCTGCCCATCCACATATTCACCCACCCACACACTTATTCATCTACCCATCCACATATTTATCTACCCATCTACCCATCCAGATATTCACCCACCCATCTACATATTCATCCACCCATCTACATATTCATCCACCCATTCACATATTCATCTACCCATCCACTTACCTACCCAGTCACCCACCCATTCATCCACTGTCCATCCATCCACTCATCCACCCACCTACCCATCCACATATTCACCCACCCATTCATTTACATATTCACTCAACCATCCACATATTCATCCACCCATCCACATATCCATCTACCTATTTATCCATCCCTCCATCCACCCACCCATCCATCTATTCACCCATCCACTTACCCATCCATCCATTTATCCATCCACCCACCCACCCATCCACCCACTTATCTACCCATCCACCCACTCAATCATGTATTTACCCAGCCATCCACATAACCATCTACCCATCCACTCACCCACCCATCCATCCATCCACCCAACCATCCATCCATCTACTTATCTGTCCACCCACCTGCCCATCCACATATTCACCCACCCACATATCCACATTCACACATCCACCCATATACCTATACACCCACCCTTCCACATATTCACTCACTCACCCATCCACATACTCATCTACCCATCCACCCACCTACCCAGTCACCCACCCTCTTGTCCACCATCTATTCATCTACCCATCCACTTTCCCATCTACCCCTCCACTCATCCATCCACCCATTCATCCATGCCAGACACGTGGGCTGTGGTGTAGGACAAGACAAGGCTGATAGCCTGTGTGAATGAATGAATGAATGCCTTATTCTGCACCCCACATTTTGGGACTTCTACCTTCTCAGGCCTTCATGGGCCTTCTTCCTTGGTTTCCCCAAGGAAGGGACGCTCTCAGCATGCACACAGAAGAACCACAGGCATAGTAGCTGGGCAGGAAAAGGGCAGGGACATCCTTGGGCCAGCAGCCCTCTCCTATGGATTTGCCACCCCCCACCCCAATCCTGCCATGGCCTCCTGGGATCCTTCTTCCTGTTCCCAGCCTAGGGGATTTGGGTGAGAAAGATAGAAGTTCTTGAGGCCGGAGAGCATGTCAATTCTGGGCTACTTTAAGTATTTGGGGGACAAGCCAAAGTACAAAAAAAAGTTCATAAAGGTCTTAAACAGTTCCTAGATCCTGACCAAGGCTGCCTGAATGCCCTGCATCCTGCCCTTTTGTCAGACTTGAGGCAGAGCCCCCCACCCCACCTCTGGCACCATAGGGAGGGCAGAGGGCCCATTGTCCCTCCTGGCAGCCCTGTCTGACCACAGCAGTATCAGACCTTGCCCATGGCAGCTCCAAGGGTGGGAGGACAAACCCACACCACATCGTGCACACCAGCAGGTGGGGTGAGTGGCACAGGTTCCTCCCTACACCTCTCTCTGCCCTGCTTCAATAGCCAGGGTATGGGAGGTCACAGCACCTAGGACAGCCTGCCTCGCAGGTGTTTGCCTCTGGCACCAAGATGATCTTGAGGCTCTCCAGCTAGCACAGGGGCTTCCACCTTTCAACAGCTTGGAGCCTTCATCTTCATGGATCTGGGCCCCAGGGCAGAGGGACAGGGGTGAGGTGGTGTCTCTGAGTTTCCCTGGCTTAGCTCTTCTGGCTTAGTGGAGTGGTGGTGCAGAGGTACCTGATCGCCTCAACCTCTGCAGTACAGGTGAGGAGGGGGACTGAGGCCCCACAGAGCTCAGAGATGCTTAGGGTGGGAGGTGGGGGTTCCCAGAATCCCCAGAGTCCTGGGAACTTCAGTTGCTAGACCCTGAGAACTAACACAAAGTAGAGTGAAAAGAGCAGTTTGGAGGCTGGATTTGGGACCCCATTCTGCCTCTCACTGGCTGCAGACCCTGGGCAAAGCACCTACACTCTCTGTCTTGGAAAAGTGAAGACACTGGGCTAGACTGACAGTTTTCACACTGTCTGGGTGCTCTAGTATTCTACAGAAGTGGCTGGCTGTTAGTTTGTTTGGGATGCTTAACAAAATACTATAAACTGGATGATTTTAGAATCATAGAAATTATTTCTCACAGTTCTGGAGGCTGGGAAGTCCAAGATCAGGGCACCAGCAGACTCAGTGTCTGGTGAGAACCCCACATTCTGGTTCATAGACGGTGGGTTCTTGTTGTATCTTCACATGGTGGAAGGGACAATGCAGCTCTCTGGTACTTTTTTTTTTTTTGAGATAGAGTCCCGGTCTGTCGCCCAGGCTAGAGTTCAATGATGTGATCTTGGCTCACTGCAACCTCCACTTCCGAGGTTCAAGCAATTCTTGGCCTCCCAGGTAGCTGGGATTACAGGCCTGTGCCACCACACCTGGCTAATTTTTGTATTTTTAGTAGAGACGGGGTTTCACCATGTTGGCCAGGCTGGTCTTGAACTCCTGACCTCAAGTGATCTGCCTGCCTCAGCCTCCCAAAGTGCTTGGGTTACAGGTGCAAGCAAGCCACCTTGCCTGGCTGGTACTTCTTTTATAAGGGCACTAATCCCATTTATGAGGGCCCCAGCCTCATGACCTAATGACCTCCCAAAGGCCCCACCTCCTAACACCATCACATTGGAGGTTAGGATTTCAAAATAGGATTTGGGGGTAGGGGGACCTAAACATTCAGACCTTAGTACATGAGGCAGGATGAGGGATGGAGCTGGGCCCTGCCTTTCTGTGTTTCATAGTTCAGGTGAGCAAGCCATTCTCTGTCCAACAGAAAGCCTTATAGTCAGATTCTGTGCAGCTGGGGACCTTCAGATTCTCTCAGCCTGTTCCACATGCTGCAGTTTAGCACAGGATGAGCCACGGGGTCCCACTTCCCTTGCAGTAGGCATGTGGGGCAGGAGAGATCAGGGACTTATGCAAGGGAAGGCCTGAGTGCCAGCTTGCTGGGGCCCCCACCCCCTTCCTAGCCTCTCTCTTGTGTTTCCAGCACCCCACCTCCTTAGTCTGCCTGACAGCTGGCCGTGCCCAGCTGGTATCTTTCTAGGGGCAGTGGGTTTTTCCATTCGCCCCAGTGAGAACACCCTGCTCCAAAACTCACGGTGGTACTGCCTGCCACCTAGTGGTCCTGGCAGACATTTCATGGCCGAAAGTCCAAGAGGGAAGTTGGCAGAGAGAGGCCCCAGGAAGAAGCTGGGCTGGAGCAGGCAGGAGGGCAGCTGCAGGGCTGTGAGACAACCCCAGAGCACCTCCCTGAGGGCTCATAGCCACCATGCATTTGGAGCCACATACTCCAAAGCCCTCGACTTTACACATACTCCTTCCCTTCTCACAGCTTTATGGCATTTGCAGATGAGGAAACTGAGGCAGAGAGAGGACATTATTAGCTCACCTGAGATTACAGGGCTGGTTGCTACAGGGCGGAGACCTAGACCCTGCTCTCCAGCTCCAAAACTGGAGGTTGACAGACAGCACACTGCACTCACCTGTTCCATTGCCAGCCAGGGAGACATAAGCCAGACAGGAAACAGGATGACCGAGAGATGCCAGGTAGACGGATGTAGAGTCGAGGCAGCAAGGGTGGGGGCGCCAGAGCCGGCATTCTGGCCTGGTGGGGCTTTAAACAACTCAAAAGGGAGATACGTAAGTGGTTCAGTGGTTCTTCTCTCATTAGGGACACCAAGCCAAGCTCCATAGTAGCTCTACATTTAGTTTTTTCCAAAAATGTCTCTTATTTATTTTTCATTATCTTATTTATGTATTTATTTATTTATTTTGAGATGGAATCTCACTCCAGGCTGGAGTGCAGTAGTGCAATCTCAGCTCACTGCAACTTCCACCTCCCAGGTTCAAGCAATTATCCTGTCTCAGCCTCCAGAGTAGCTGGGATTACAGGTGCACACCACCTTGTCCGGCTAACTTTTGTATTTTTGGTAGAGATGGGGTTTCACTGTGCAGGCAGTGATCTGCCCACCTCAGCCTCCCAAAGTGCTGCGGTTACAGGCATGAGCCACCACACCCGGCCATCTCTTTCCTACACTGCTATGAAAGGGTGGGTGATCCTGTGGCCATAAACCCTTTTATCTTACCCCCACCCCCCTGCCCTGCCACCTACTGGACCAGGGTGTGAACTTGTCCCATATTGGCTGTAGAATTGGTAGAGAAGTGTGGGCCAGCTTCACCCAGTGCAACAGTTAGGAATGCTCTGGGCTCCATGTAACTCACAAAAGTAACTAACAGTGGTTTAAATCAGAGCAAGGAAGTTGTCTCTTGCATCAAGAAGTCCAGGCTAAGCACCTGGTAAGGAGGGCGGTTGTATCCAGGGAACCATGGGCCCAGCTCTTTCCATTTTTCCTTAGCTTGTGGGCTCTGGCTTTGTGCCTGTCACCTCTGATCAGAAGACAGCTGTAGTGCCCCCAGTAATGCCTCTGGGTTCCAGGCAGAAGGAAGGCGGACAGGCAAAAACCCAAAGGGATACATCCACTAAGTCTGCCTCTTTCAAAGGCTTTCCTGGAAGCCCCACCCAGTCTTCCACTTACATCTAAGGGGCCACAGCAGAGTCTCCTGCCTCTACAAGCTGCAAGGGAGTCTGGGAAATGAGCATTTCAGTTAATGTTCCTTCCCCAAATAAAAGCACAGTTCAGTTAGGTAGAAGGGGTGGACATGATTTGAGTGGGGCACTAGCAGAATCTGCCTCACGTCAAAAAATCATGATCCTAGCAGGGCACGGTGGCTCACACCTGTAATCCCAGCATTTTGGGAGGCCAAGGCAGGTGGATCACTTAGATTAGGAGTTTGAGACCAACCTGGCCAACATGGTGAAACCCCATTTCTACTAAAAATACAAAAAGTTAGCCAAGCGTGGTGGTACATGCCTGTAATCCCAGCTACTCAGGAGGCAGAGGCAGGAGAATCGCTTGAACCAGGGAGGCAGAGGTTGCAGTGAGGCAAGATCGTGCCATTGCACTCCAGCCTGGGCAACAAGAGCAAAACTCCATCTAAAAGAAAAAAATCATCATCCTGGCTCTGGAAAGGCTGGGCAGAAAGGGCTGTCCAGTGGTGGGAAAGCCCAAGGAAGCACCATGGAGGGTGGGTGGCACTGGAGACCAGAGAGAGCAGGATGTCCAGGGTCTCCTGCCCCTCCTCGGGGCCCTTGATCTCTCTATGACCTTGGCCAAGTCACCTTCCCTCTCTGGGACTCGGTTTTCTCTCTCTAAAATGAGGGGGCTTAACAAAGTTAGTATTTCTCAAACCTTTAACCAAAGTCCCAAACAAGCTGAAGAGAATGAACTTGTAAGCGTCGTGTAAAATACTGCTTTTTATCTTAAAGCTTTATGAAAATTTTGCAGTCTGAAGAATCTCAAAGCTTAAATTACTTTAGGAAACTATATATATTAAGAATATGTGGCCGGGCGCGGTGGCTCACGCCTATAATCCCAGTACCTTGGGAGGCCGAGGTGGGTGGATCACAAGGTCAAGAGATCGAGACCATCCTGGTCAACAAGGTGAAACCCCGTCTCTACTAAAAATACAAAAAATTAGCTGGGCATGGGGGTGCGCACCTGTAGTCCCAGCTACTTGGGAGGCTGAGGCAGGAGAATTGCTTGAACCCAGGAGGCAGAGGTTGCGGTGAGCCGAGATCGTATCATTGCACTCCAGTCTGGGTAACAACAGTGAAACTCCATCTCAAAAAAACAAAACAAAACAAAACAAAAAACGAATATGTGTGAGGCCAAGGCAGGAGGATCACCTGAGGCCAGAAGTTTCAAAACCAGCCTGGGCAACATAGCAAGACCCCTTCTCTACAGAAAATTTAAAAATTAGCCTGCAATCACTTGAGCCCAGGAGTTGGAGGCTGCAGTGAGCTATGTGTGAATTAACTTAAGAAATGGATAAATGAATGATTCAAATTTTATACTTATTTAAAATCTTTAAAAATTGTATGTAATAGTATAACCATAATTAAAATTTCCTCTCCATCTTTTTAAAAATTATTTTTAGAATAGATAATACATTCACATGGCTCAAAATTCTAAAGCAGGTCAAAGTTCCTTAATTTATAATGAGGCTGTGTCCTAATAAACACATCATAAACTGAAAATATCAAGTTGAAATGCATTTAATTTACCTAACCTACTGAACATCATAGCTTAGCCTAGCCTAGCCTACCTTAAACATTCTCAGTATAGTTACATTGGCCTACAGTTGGGCAAAATCACCAAAAAGCCTATTGTGTGTGTCAAAAATCATTCACACAGGTGGAGCATGGTGACTCATGCCTGTAATCCCAGCACTTTGGGAGGCCGAGGCAGGCAGATCCCCTGAGGTCAGGCATTCAAGACCAGCCTGGCCATCGTGATGAAACCCTGTCTCTACTAAAAATACAAAAATTAGCTGGGCATGGTGGCATGTGGCTGTAATCCCAGGTACTTGGGATGCTGAGGCAGGAGAATCACTTGAACCTGGGAGGCAGAGGTTGCAGTGAGCTGAGATCTCGCCACTGCACTCCAGCCCAGGAAACAGAGCAACAGAGCCAGATCTAGTCTCAAAAAAAAAAAAAAAAAAAAAAAAAAACATGCAAAGCCTATTTTATAATAAAGTGTTGAATATCTTATGTAATTTATTGAATACTGTACTGAAAGTAAAAAACAGGATGCTTGTGTGGGTCCTGGAAGCATAGTTTCTACTGGATGCATATCGCTTTCACACCACATGAATCAAAACGCGTTAAGTGGAAGAAATCGTTGTGACTGAGAGCCCATCTATATGTGACACACAGTGAGACGTCTCCCGCCCACCCCTTTCCCCACACTGAAGGTATTCCCATTTCTGTTTCTTGTGTATCCTTTAAATTTGTAAATGTTTTGAAAGTCATTTTTAAAATAAGCAAGAGTTCTATCCCCAGGGAGAGCCAATAAAATGTTTTGAGCAGGGCCCAGGCAGCTCAGGGCTGGAGTCTAGGAAACTTGCGGAGGCTGAATGGTGGCGTGGGTGGAGCTCAGCTGTTGAAGCAGGTGACGCATTGCAGGTGTGCCGCTGGCAGCGGTGGTGGGCGGGGCTTGGAGGAGGTGGGTGGGGCAGGCCAAGGGCGGAGGCGGTCCTAGCTCGGGTTCCATACCCTTGTCCACGCAGGTTCCTACTACCTGACCACCACCTACGGGGCCCTGGAGCACATCAAGAACTACGACAAGATCACGGTGACCCGGCAGCTGAGCATGGAGGTGCAGGACTCCATCCACCGCTGGGAGCGCCGGCGCACGCTCAACAAGGCCCGAGCCTCCCGCTCCTCCGTACAGGTGACAGCTGGGACCGAGAGTGGGAGGGGCCTGGTGGGACCTTGTCTCAGACACCATCCTTGCTGCCCACTGGCCCAGGAGCCGTGACATCGCCTGGCTGCTCCAGCCGCCCAGCCCTGCCTTAGGGAGCAATGAGGCTCCCCACACCAGAGGAAGGGCCCAAACCCCTGCTGCCACTGTGTGTCCCGGACTTGGGTGCGCCTAGAAACGTATCAGCAGGCATTGGTGTTCCCGCGGCAGGCAGGAAGGCTGCGGGAGGAATGAGACACGTGTACCCATCATTCCTTAGCGCCTCCTATGGTCCAGCACCCTGCCAGGGCTAGAGATGTGAACTTTTCATCCCCGTCCCTGCCTTTAAGGAGCCCACAGACTGATCTACAGCCCTATCCCTTAGTCCCTGGACAAATGCAGCAGCTGCCAAGGGTCTCCGTGCTCCCCAGCAGCCCAGCGGCCCACCCCTCCCCACACCTCTCCCTATACGGACTCAGTATTCAAACCAGTCCTGCCCCTCCCCAACTTCATTGCCCCACCCATCCCCAGGCTGCATCAAATCCGGCTGCCCCCAGGTCCCCAAACATGCCCAGCCCAGTTCACTGGCTTCTCGCCCTCACTGGCCAATCTCCCCTTCTTCACTGGCCGTCACTGCCCATCCTTTAAGACAACTCAATTTCCCCAACAGCCCCCTCCTCTGAGAAGCCTTCCCTGATACACACACACATACTCTTCCCACAGGCTTGGTGGGGTGCCCTCTTCTGGGCTTCCAGCAGCCTCCCCTGTTACAGCACATATCATGTCCTATCATCCTCTGAATATGAATATGAAGCTGTCACCTCTGGGAGGGCACAGCCCATGGTTCACATGGCTCAGGGACCCCAAGCCCAGGGCCTGGGACAGAGTGAGACTGGGTGTATGAAAATGAAAAAAGGAAGGAGTTGGACCAGTGAGCCGGGCACATGCAGAGCTGCAAGCAGCTATGCAGACTCACTCCCCTGACACCCAGAGCACGCCAGTCCTGAGCCCCACTCCTGGCTTTCAAGATGGTGCATCTGTAATAAGCAGAGCACAGGCCTGGGAGGCAGGAGGCTTGAGTTCTGGACCTGGCCCTGTACAAGCTTGCTGTGTGACCCTCAGCAATCCCTGCCCCACTCTAGGACTCAGTTTTCCTGCCCACACAGGCTGACTATGGCTAATCAATTTAATAACTGACTCTCTGGGGAAAAAACAAAAGCTCTGATTTTAACATCTGTCCATTTCCATGGTGTGAATACTCCATGGCCAATTTCAAGTTGGCATCACTGAATGTGGAACTGGAACGAAGTGTGTGCAGTCAGCTCTCCCTGGCCAGTGTGAGCCACCACCAGCTCCAGCACACCTTTGTTCCCCTGCCCTCCCAACACACCGGCCCCCCATGGACTGTGGGGACATGGACACTCTTGGTCCAAGCCTGGCCTGGGCTTGTACTTCCTGACTCCACCCTAGGGGGTCCTGATGCTGAGCCAGGCAAAGCATGGGTGAAATTGACCAACCACTGTTGGGGAGATGGAAGCTTGGGAGGGGTCCCCCTCAGCACCACATCTGGGATCTGGGAAGGGCACCTTCCTCTGCCCCCTCCCAGTGCCTCCTCTACGCTCCATGACTTGAGGGGTGGGCATCCTTCCCTGGGGAGGAAAGCCCAGAGCCGGACAGTCACCAGCAGGTGGATAGGACCCTGGGAGGCCTAATGAAGGACAGGAAGCCCTAAGGCAGCCACTAAAAGGGAGTGGGCCAGGCTTTTCCCCTCCTGAAAGAAATGAGTGATGCCCATAAAGCTCTTGACAGGATCCCTGCCCCTCCTAAGCCCTCACCAGCAGTGGCCCTCATGTTCTCCACCAAGCCAGGATCTTCAGTCGCTCCCGGCACAGGCCTGCTGTTCCCAAGCGAGCCACAAGGGGGCAGCCCCGCACGCAGCGTCACTTGCAACCCAGAGCCCCGGGGAGGCCGAGGCGGCTCCGTGCCGGAGCTTCCCGCGTCTGCTCACCCACTCCTGGGAGGCGGTCGCTGTCCCCACTTCACAGCCAAGGTTCGTAGAACCAAGGCCACACAGGCAGTGGGAGCGGATTTAAAGCCCGCAGGTGTGTGGCGGGGGCCCTAAGGGTGGAGGACGGCGGGCGAGCGCCCTGTGGGCGCCCTGGCTCACGCTGGGCCTTACCCACCCGATTGCGCCCAGCCTGCTTCACCCGGTCCGCTCCCGCTTTACCAAGCCCTGCCCCGCGCAGCTCCTCAGAGCCCCGGGGCCTTTGCAGCCCTAAGGGGCTGGACTGTGCGGCCCGCCGGCACTGTGGGATGCCCAGGCCGGCTCGTACCTCCCTTATCTGTGCTGCCCTCCGTGCCCAGCATTGCGCCTGGGTTGCCAGGGTATTACCTAGAGGGAGTAAGGGAATGAATGAATGAATGGTGGGGAGCCTGTGGACCGGCAGCCAGGGGGCACTCCTCGTTGCAGGGTCTCCGAGACGCCCCTTAATTCATCCCCCAGAACTGTCGGCCCAGCTGGGAGGCGAGGCAGGGAAGGGGGACTGGTCCCCCGCAGGCTCATGGCACAGCCAGGTATGGCGCAGGTGTTGGACTCCCCGCCTGCTGGGCGCCCGCCACCCGCTGTCCATCCAGGGAGGAGCCTGGGCCGGGAGAGGGCAGGGGGGCCGGCCAAGGCCGCCTGGGGAGACAGGGTCCCGCCGTGACCGCAGGCCCCGCGTGTCTCCGCAGGACTTCATCTGCGTGTCGTACCTGGAGCCCGAGCAGCAGGCGCGAACGCTGGCGTCGCGGGCGGACACCCCGGCCCAGGCGCTGTGCGCGCAGTGCGCGGAAAAGTTCGCGGTGGCGCGGCCGCAGGCGCACCGGTTGTTCGTGCTGGTGGACGGGCGCTGCTTCCAGCTGGCAGACGACGCGCTACCGCACCGCATCAAGGGCTACCTGCTGCGCTGCGAGCCCAAGCGCGACTTCCACTTCGTCTACCGCCCCCTGGACGGCGGCGGCGGTGGCGGAAGCCCTCCCTGCCTGGTGGTGCGAGAGCCCAACTTCCTGTGAGGGCGACGCTGGCGGGGCCGGGGGCTGCGAGACGCTCCCCCAGTCACCCCCTGGCGCACCTCTCACCCCGCCGCAGGCCGCGCACCCCCGACGGCGACGCCCACGCAGCACAGGGACACGGGGCTTTCCACGACGTGCTCAGGTCAACGTCGCAGGGCAGTTGTGAAAATATCAGGACGCGCGGCCAAGGCCATTCCTGAGGGCAGGTCATAGCACTGAGACACTGAGAGGCCATGTTCTTCATTAGACGGAAAGGGAAACCGAGGCTCAGAGAGGAGAGAGGAGTCCCGGGCCGCTGCCGCCAACAAACCCGCCTTCTTGACACGCAGCCCCTCCGGCCATTTCCCGTGAGTACCCCCACGCCCACCCCATCCTCGGTGTTTGCAAGGAGGGGTCAGAGCTTAGTTTCCCAGGACTGGCCGAGGAAGGGGCGCTGGCCACGGCTGCTCCCTGTGCCCTCAGGGTGGACCCAGCATCTCAGGAGTACCGCAGGGTGCGTGTTGAGACCCTCACCTCTGCCGCAGAGCCTGCACTTAGCTCCCAGCGCCCCCAGACCCCCTCGCTCTGCACCCCGTCGGAAGCCGCCAGACACACGCTGGAGCCCCAAGCAAGACTGGCTCCAGGGACGCACGGACAAGCCCAGCCCCGCCTCAGGGAAAACTGACAGGGCCTTTCCCTGCAGCACGCCCCAGAGCCGTGGCCAATTGCAGGAGCCATCGTGTGGGGAGAATTTAATAAAAGCCCTTTTGAAAATGGCATCTCCTTTCCTGAAGGCGCTGGAGCTCTGCACAGCCAGCCCCTCATTCACAGCCTCACCCCCTTCCCAGGTGGCTTCAGAAGACCCCTGTTTGCCATGGGGATCCTGTCCTCTGCCAGCACCTGTGGCATACTCTGAGCACCATCAGCCCTCAGGACCCAGGCCCCTGTCTGCCGCTAAGCCTGGTGGTCTTCTGCCTCCGACCATCCTTGGTTCCCATCATCCCCAGCTCAGGATCAGAACCGTCTGTCACCTCTCCCAGGGATTCCATTCCCTGTAGTCTTTGTCTGGTCAGCTTCTATCTCCTATACATCCTCCTCCAGGAAGCCTTGTTTTTTTGTTTTGTTTTGTTTTGAGATGGGGTCTCCTCTCATTCTGCTGCCCTGGCAGTACAGTGGTGCGATCAGGGCTCACTGCAGCCTCAACCACCCAGGCTCAGGAGGTCCTCCCACCTCAGCCTCCCAAGTAGCTGGGACTATAGCCACGTGCCACCACACCTGGTTAATTTTTTGGTATTTTGTGTAAGAGACGGGGTTTCAGTGTGTTGCCCAGGCTAGTAGGAAGCCTTTCCTAATTCCCCAGGTTGGGCCAGGGACTGTCTGACAGACCATCAAATGGTAACTAACAACTGATGCCTCTGCTTTTTTTTTTTTTTTTTAATTTGAGACAGAGTCTTGTTCTTTTGCCCAGGCTGAAGTGCAGTGCCTCAATCTCGGCTCACTGTGCGACCTCTGCTTCCGAGGTTCAAGCAATTCTAATGCCTTAGTTTCTCGAGTAGCTGGGATTACAGGTGCGCCACCACGGCCGGCTAATTTTTGTATTTTTAGTAGAGATGGGGTTTCACCATGTTGGCCAGGCTGTTCTTGACCTCAAGTGATCCGCCCACCTTGGCCTCCCAAAATGTTGGGACTACAGGCATGAGCCACTGCACCCAGCTGAGGCCCCTGTTTTCTCCACCAGATTTGCACCATTTGTGTCTGTCAGTGTCGATTGGAAATAGGTGCTTGTGGGTGCCTCCCACGTGTCAGTGCTCCTCTAGGCCCTGGGAAGCAGCACAAAGCTCGTGTGGAACCCAGCATGAATGGCCCTGAGCAGGCCATGCAGGGAACCACAACTGGACTGGGCTGAGTTAAATTCCTAGGCACCCACCAGCTCATTCAGCCAGTCAACAAACACCTGTTAGACTCTGGGCCCAGGCCAGCATGGTGTGAGTGGCAGCGGGTGCAGCATCACCGATGTGAAAAAAAAGGCAAATACCCAGATGGTGAGGATGCCCAGTTGTGATCTCAGATTGCCCCCAACACCCCCACCCCAGTCCCTGCCAGTGCAGACACCACCCTCTTCCTCTGCTTCCAAGCTCCCATCAGCCCTGGGCTGGGCTGGGCTGGGCTGGGCAACACAGCCTCCTGTCCCGGCTCTCAGGCCAGCAGCACCCTGCCTCCCACCAGGCCCGTGCAGTCTCGCACATGGTGGCAGATGCCCATACATTGTTCAAAACCCATCTTCAGGCTTATAAGCCTGGTGGGAAAGGTTGCGGGATTCTGTTTCCCCAACCACCCTGTTCCCCGGGTGTGGCCCAGGCTTAGGGTGGAGCTGGGGTTCAGAGGGTGCATGAGGCACCTGCCTTGCTCTGGCTTCTGATGCCTGGTTTCCAGGAAGGAGATGGAGCTTGCCAGTGGGCTGCACTGAGAGCCGCTGTAAGAATGTGTGTATGTGTGCATGCATGTGTATGTGTATGTGTGTGTGTGTGTGTGTTTGCGTATGTGTGCCAGGCCTGCCCGCCATCCTGAGGCCAATGCTGGAATCCACCTGTCAGGAGAAGCTGGTGAGCTCTCGTGAGCCTCCAGAGAGCAGGAGAGGAGTTATCTGGAGCACTTGTCATCTGGATGCATCTGTCCCCAGGGAGCTGAGACCGGGAAAGCTGGGGGCCTGACGCAGGGCCAGAAGAAAACATAATGTGAGCTTCAGGAGTACAGATATTCCCACTGCCCCCAGTGAGCTGTGACTGGGAAAATGGGAAGGTGACTGCATTTGAAGATAGAGCTTTTGAAGAGATGATTAAAGTTAGGCCAGGCACGGTGGCTCATGTTCGTAATCCCAGCACTTTGCGAGGCCGAGGCAATGGACCACTTGAGGTCAGGAGTTTGAGACCAGCCTGGCCAACATGGCTTTCTCTACTAACATGGCCTATCTCTACCAAAAACACAAAAATTAGCTGGGCATGGTGGTGGGAGCCTCTAATTCCCAACTACTCAGGAATCAGAGGCAGGAGAATCATTTGAACCTGGAGGCGGCGGCTGCAATGAGCCAAGATCACTCCATTGCACTCCTGCAGGAGACGAGCAAGACTCCGTCTCGAATAAATAAAGAATAAATAAATGAAATAAGGTCATTCAGGTGGGCCCTAATCCAATACAACTGATGTCCTTCTAAGAAGAGAGACACCAGGGACCTGTGAACAGGAGGAGGCTGTGTGAGGACCCTGAGAAAAGGTGGCCCTCTGCCAGCCCAGGAGAGAGGTCTCAGGAAAAAGTAACCCTACCAGCACCTTGATCTCGAACTTCCAGACTTCAGAACTGTGAGGAAATGAGTTTGCACAGAATGGGCAGTGACAAATATTCCAGGTAACCCCACTGGGAGCTCATGAGGGCTCCCCGACCTCTCCTGACAGGTGGACTCCAGCATTAGCCTCAGGGTGGAGGGCTGGACACACACGCGCTGCACACGCACACACACACACACAAACGCACGCCCTAGGATGCTGGGGGTTAGGCCTTCAACATACACATTTTTGGAGGGACACAATTTAGTCTGTAACGGGGTGACTTGTCCCACCCAGTTCGTGCCAACAAAATGAGTTTGAACTCAGGGCTGACTGACCCTAAACCCACAGCTCTCTCTCCTGCCCCCATGCAGCACCCCAAGAGACGGATCTTAGAAAACCAAAGTGGGTGGCCGGGCGTGGTGGCTCAAGCCTGTAATCCCAGCACTTTGGGAGGCCGAGGCGGGTGGATCACAAAGTCAAGAGATCGAGACCATCCTGGTCAACATGGTGAAACCCCGTCTCTACTAAAAATACAAAAAATTAGCTGGGCATGGTGGCGCGTGCCTGTAATCCCAGCTACTAGGGAGGCTGAGGCAGGAGAATTGCCTGAACCCAGGAGGTGGAGGTTGCGGTGAGCCAAGATCACGCCATTGCACTCCAGCCTGGGTAACAAGAGCGAAACTCCGTCTCAAAAACAAAAAAAAAGAAAACCAAAGTCAGATAAGCCTTGGCTGCCGAACCCCAGCGCTTGGGGACCCTGCCTGAGGCAGTGGCTGTTGTGACCTGGCTCACGGGCCCAGGATGCAACCGATGAGTCCTGGCGTCTCCACTACCCTGAGCGAGGGCTGAGGAGTCCAGTGCTGAGCGTATGTGTGTCCAAAGGTGACCGGGCCACTGGCCTGATGCATGGCAGGGTCTGTGTCTCCTCCCTGGCATTTGTCCCTCTCCCCATGGCCTCTGGCTCCCTCCTTCCTGCGCTTTTACCCTGCACAGTCTGTGGGTGGGACCAGGCCAGCAGTCCTGGGAGAAGCCACCAGGGTTTCCCCAGAGAGACCAAGCATGCCTGGCCCTGTGCCTCCCCATCCCTATGGCCCTCCCATGACGGCTGGACAGTGTCCTGCCTGCCATGAGATGTCCCAAACTGACGCTGACAAGGCCTGGCCAGGATGGCCCTACAACCCCTTAATGGGGTGTATTGCCTTCACCCCAGAAATAAGCAAGTTTCTTCTGGCAGGGACAGACCCAGAGGTGAGGTGAGTAGAGAAGAACAGAAGCCCGGGGGCAGGGAGCAGCCAGAGAAGCGGAGTGGGGGGGTATCCCCTGGGTGCAGTGTAGACACCCCTTCCCCCACCCCACATGCACTCACAGATGAGCCTGCCCTCCCCTCTCAGCAGGCCCAAGGCTATGTCTGCAAGGCTAGACACACATTTATGGGTGCGGTTGCCAGGTACCTGCTCAGCTGGCCAGGATCCAGCATTCAGATGCTTCCTGCTCAGAGGGATCACTGGGTGGAGGAGGGGGAGCAGCTGTGGCTGGAGCAGGCCCTGCCTTCACAGGAAGGTCCCGTGGAGCAGGGCTTTGGAGAGGAAAGTGCCATCTCCCAGTGGTGGCTTTTCTTCTACCAGTTTGCTGGGACACGCTGGCTTCCAGGAAAGCTGTCCAGAAACCGCCCCCTTGCAGCCCATGCAGCCCTAAACCAGCAGGAAATCCTGAAATGTTTGGCTTCCGGGTCAGAAAACCTACTCAGCGGTTCAGTGGGAAGAACTGAACTGAAGCCGGAAGACCTGGGCTCCGGGCCAGCTGCAAGCCCTGTGCACATCCTTAACAACTTTGAGCCTCAGTTTCCCCATTCTTAAAATGAAAATGCATATTATATGCTGACTTCCCAGGCTCATTGCAGGGATTCTCCAAGTTCCTGGGTGGGGGCAGGCAGGGGAAGTCTCGGATCTTCTTGAAAAGGTAAATCAACTCAAGGCTAGCACGTACAGGCACAGAAGGCATTCACTGCTAAAGCGGACCCCTGTAGAACACTCAGGGGACCTGACAGGTAGGAATCGTCAAAGCAAACAGGAAGCTTGTGCACCCTGCTGCGCCCTGAGTCATAGGGTCCTTTATCCTTGACACAGGAGTCTGTTATCTGCAGCACCTGTGAGACTGCACCGGTGGCCTTGCTAGCCCACGAGTGAGTAAAACCCCAGACTCCTGACAGTTCTTGACAATGAAGATGGAAGACAATGAGAAATCATGGAAAACTTAGTAAGACTATGTGGTTTGCAGGGGAACCGGCCATTTCAAGATGGCTTGAACATAAAGCCTGAGACAAGAAGTGGAAGAGGGGCCTGAGTTAGCAGGCCGGACCAGGCCCTGAATGGTCTTGATTGGCAGCAGATGGAGTCTGGAAATGGTCCACCCACATGGAACGGGATTGGAGGGGCTGGGCTGAGGCAGGGG